GATGAAAAGTCAAACGTGCCACTTTAACAGCAATCCAGACTACGGACAACTATCGCACCCTGCCATCACCGTAAAAAAGAAAGGCTTCGACGGCAAACTCTAACATGGAACGATAAGAACGTGCTTTTAGCTTGGATGACGATGCATATCTTATCAGAGGGGCATTTCAGTACATTTTAAGGTACAGAATCTATACTTTAGACAGTGAGACAAATACGTATGCGAATGGTCACCGTTTGTGGTTATGCTTTCTGTATTGTCATTTTATTTTGACTGCATTAATCATGAATATGAACGCTGTTAATGATTCCGACTTTGATGTGTTGAATTATTGGCTATGGAGACTAACATATTTATACATTTGAAGAGCTTAGTTCAATACGTACGTTTGTTACAGATACGAGTAGTAAGATTCAGTTGTGTCTGTCTTACATATTTTCGAAAAAAGCCAAAAAGGCGGAAGACCCGCCATTTTTTTTCTTCTGCTTCTAGAGTGACAAGCGAGGATCTTGCATGACGTTAACCGTTCTCTTCAGTTGCGGTGGGATCTATTAGGCGACAGAGGTAGCAGCGCATAAAGTCAAATCTTAGCCCGGTTTAACGAATTTCTAAATAATTTTAGCTAGGCAAATAACGCCAGGCTGCCAACAATCATTGTCAGCTCAGAGTTTACCATGTAAACACGTCTGCTTTTCAGCGTGTAACAAATTCTTAGCATAAAATAAACCCTAGGAAAGCATGTGGATATCTGTCGCTTCTACCAAACCACGCTATACTCAAACTTCGCCATCGTTTAGCATTCAACAACTCTACAGCGTTACAAATGAAGCCACTTTTGCTATCACTGTCATCGTCTGTTTCTCATTCATTTTCGGATAGATCGATTGATATCTTTCAATGGAATCGATAGTTTAGTCTATTTTCTTTTTTCCTCCTTTTTTTAAGCCATTCATACATCATTCAAAGCCATGATCTTATGAAAAGCCACCTCCAACGATCATCATTACGTTGCTACCATCTTAGGATAGCTACTGCACGATGCAGAACAGCTGACCGATTGACAGCACAGACTATATGATTCACAGTCTATCTTTAGCGTTTTTTATCTTTTTTCAGCCCGTGCAACCCTTTATCGTAGCTCTCAATCGTTGAAAATCGCTGCAGTTTTTCCACTAGCTAGCACAAATCAAACGCACTCGCAAATAACGAATTGACGTCACCTATATATCCTTAACGCTTTCCTGTACCATCGGCTGTATAGCGACGGCGAGGAGAACGTTTTTCACGCGAAAGCATCGATGGCATCGTCTCTTTGGCCTAGCGTCCCTTTAGCCAGCACTTTGTTCTCTTCGCTGTTTGTCCCCTACCTTCACAACTTGCTATTTTATTTTTCGTAAAATGCCTCTACCGTTCAATATTTCATTCGCCGCCTTCAGGTTTTCTCTGTTTCGAAGAACGTGAAGTCGAGTCAACTAGCGACAGAATAATCTCCTGAAACACTGGAAAGAAAGGACTTCAATTCTAGTTCCGTCTCACTCAGCTAGTTTTCATTAAATTCACGCCGACGCTGCAACCACTATTTGCCAGGTATTGATGTATGCAGTTGCCCCCTTTGTCAGACCCTGCAAGAGCCGTAGTGCCAACAGATAATGGCAACGGCCATTGCCGCAGTGCCTTCGTTCAGCCGCTCATAGAAGGTAGAGTGTGGAACACTGAACTATTTCACTGTCGTTATAGGTTTAGTCAGCGCCGATGGAGCTAACTAGTTGCCGTCTCCAGTTCCAGTGCTCTAAGTAGTAGAATTAATGTTCGACAACTAGCTACATATTCGGAACTGCTTGATCCCTTTATCTATGTTCGTACGAGAAACACCCTCGCCTCTTTGCACGACATTGTCTTGGCACGATGGTACGCAGCAATGCGCAATGACTTTACCGACGGCGCCTACGGGTCACAACGTAGCAAGCAAAATTTGAGCACGGTTGAACAAACGAATAGAAATAGTATCAGTCTGAAGAACAGCATTAGGGTAGGTAACGGCTACAATTGCCTTGGGAAAGTAGCAGACTTTGCTGTTTCGTCATGAACCTTTTAGACATTATATCCAATGTTAACTAGGCTTAAGATGCTCACCTATCCGAATGCCAGAACAACGCTAACTGCGTTACCAACATATTAGCAAGAGGTCTAATTTGAGCTAATTTTTCAAGTAGCTGAGGCTAACAGGGGCTCCGCATTGAACAGCATTGAATCGTACTACATGCACGTACGTACATCGCTAGAAACAACTCGACTGAATGAATGATCGTGTTAGAAAAGCTAATAATGACAGCAATGGCATTTCAACGATTCAAAAAGAACCTGAATTAGAAATACTTCGTAGTGTTCTATAGATGGAACTATTTAGGTTTTGGTATTGTTCGTGCTGACTGGTATAGAAAAGGTAGTTTTGCTATTAAATTTTGCCCCTAGTTACAGGTAGCATGCAGATGCATAGTAGCGACTTCGTATAGTGTCCTCACTTCTTTAGCGGATCTTGTAGTATTTTTGGAAACTGTAGTTTGCGTATTCAACGGCTACAAACGCTGTACGCAATCCATCTTAGGGTATGTAGACGATTCAACAAGGTCACATACAATACGACTACACAAAATATATTCCATATGGAACTCAAGATCGTACTGCTGAAAGAATAGTACTCTAATAGTCTAAACCTACAGTAAAACGTTTTAACGAATATTTTGCGAGTAGCCGGCTTCTGCTTAGTTAATTGGCAGGCAAATTGAAAACTCACCTATCTGTGGTAGTCGGTTATAAGAGAAAAAAAGATCTACGTGTAGAACTAATGGTACTATTTTTCACGATTAGGTGTTTTCACGTGTGGGCGAATAAAGTTGACTCAGGGGGATGGACAGAGGCCGCCATTTTCCTGTTGCCTGGAGATTGGTCTTTGCGATATTGTTTCCGTTTTCCTCCACTACCCCCACGTTCAACAGTGCTATTATTATCCCATCGGAAACAGCTACAACCTCCTATTTCGGACGACTTAAGTAGAAATAAAAGATAAATTGGATGCGGATTGAGCTGCGAGTGCGGCAAAACAATAGTTATAACTTGAAATTTCCTGGTTGTATACTGCGTGCATTAGTGCATTTGCAGCCGACGTTCATCGCACATTTGTCATTGTTTGTATGTTTGAATGCTCGTTTAATCCGTCTAAAAGGTGGTCAAAACTGAAAATGTTTGTTATACGAGGGAAACTTGCTATAGGGCTGCCCAGGCAAAAGGCGACATAATAAATTAGCTCGCGTATTAAATTCCATCTTCTTTATCAAACTATATCAAGCTAGGGTCTATACGTGTTTGGGCTTTGTCCATCCGGTCGGGAAATACAAATGTGTTTCTTGTTGTCACTCCGGTTTTTGGTTGAGTGAACACTTTGTAGATAGATCTTTGTTATCGCGGCGTTGTGCTTTTCGCCTTCGGCTACAGTAAACTCTTTCGGAATTAGATATCGCCTCCTTGCACACATTCATACTCTGTCGACACGTCCAAAAGCAACGTAACGTGTACATGCAGTATGCATGTGTTTCGCCGGCTCGTCTCACTGCAGCCGAATTCGATTCGTTTTCTATAGTTAACTGTACTGTATTTTTATACAGCGCGTTTGACCACTAGAGGCTAGAGCGCATAGAATAAGGGATGTGAGGGAAGTGCACAATCGTACTTCTTGGCCTACGGCCGATCACTATAAAAGGATCGATACGAGGGAATTGTGACAAGCTGGGATGTTACGCATCTCGATGCCTCAGCAAGAGCAGGTAATAAACGCGACAGCCTTTGCGAGACGCAGCTTTGCTTGTTGGACACAACTTCCGTCTCTTCTTTTTATTCGTTTTAGCCATTATTTTCTCTCTTTCCCTCTCATTCTATCTCTCGACGACGGTGGGCTTGCCGATTGAACAGCTGGTACGATGAAGGAACAAACAGGAAAAGGTCGTAGCGCCAAGGGAATTCAAGAACCTTCAGCCCCAGTGCGTCCGCAACGTTCCGTCGATACCGAACCGAGGAGGCATGAAGAGGGCGATAGATAATGGAACAACCAGTCGATACAAATCTTTTCGTCTTTCTCGCCCATGTCGTAGATGCGTTCGCTGATGCTGCGGCCGTTTGCGCACCTCTGTAATTCTTTTGCAAAGCCATTGTCGTCCCTGTCGATGCTGTCCACTTGTGCACGGTTTTTCGGTGGTTGCGGACCGATGTTGTTAATGGTGTCGTCGGGGTGAACAGCTGGTCCTGTGAATCGCCAGTACTTTCCTTCTTACTTCTATTCGTTCTGTTTCATCAGCGGCGCTCGGCCAGGCAGCTGCGCTATTCAGGACGAAAACGGACTGTCCTGAACAGTTGTGATCATAATCGCTAAAATCTCGGCTTTAGGCTTGGTAAAAGTGCATTGTTACCGTGCATTGTCGGTGTACTCTACTGAAACGCTATGATAACGACAGGACGATATGCAGACTAACATTTTCTATGGGCAGCTAATAATTCACCTACCCCTCGTGTATGTGCGGCCGTAAACACACGAACAGAGCGTCCTATATGGATCAGAAGCACATATACATGCGTTTTTAATTCACCGCTTATGGAATAATTCGAATAGTTACATGCCTATGAGACTAACCTAATGGCGAGCTATTGTATCACATAGAAAAGGTGCAAACCTCATTCTGCCGCCTGTCGATTACATAGCATTCAAGCCATTTAGTTATCTCGTACGATCTGTATAAGATCACAATATATCACAACAGTAAGTGTTGAGTCTTGCAACGAGCTTGTTGTCATTTTGCTCGCAGAGCATTTTAGAGATATAGGACGCAGTTTATTTAATATGAAAAAATAATAAAGAAATGTGACTCAACTATCAACGACAACATATCACTAAACGCTCATGTTTCTATTTTTGTGGCTATTCTCTATTCGCTTATTGTTCATACGGGTAGTATCTCGTGGTCTCCATCAGGAGTGGATCCCAATATGAACGAGCACGCAGTCTACCTGGATGATCTCTGTGGAACGCTATCGGGCCGCCTCAAGGATATGGTGGCCAAAGCTGCACATCTCGAAAGCCCTGACTGGGATGAGCTGCCACCGACCTTCCGAAAGGTAACGCAATCCTTCATAATGACTTACTTTTAATTGCCTTTTGTTTTCTAAACAGATTCATTACTGCATTGCAAAATCAACCTGGATCTGTTTAACTGGTCAGGAATGGGGCGTTCGTACCCTAGATCGTTAAACGATCCTTATTTGAGAATAGCCGCCGAAGGAACGTTTGTTCAAACGGAATCACTAGCTATTTGAAAGGCAGCGTAAACAATCGGGTAAAATAGTGTACGAGCACTAACACGTTTCTATGGAAATTTTCTTGTCCCATGTCATTCAATCTTCCCTAAGAGCTTCACGCAGAAACCACCTACACTTCAAGTAGATATAAAACAAATATGAAATTAACTGCAAAAGTGTTGTTTATACCTTCTACCACTCACTACCAACCACCTTAATAGCGTTTTTATCTTCTTGCTTATGAATAAATGTGATCAATAAAAATCTGACCGCGATCGCCTGAATTACATACATCATACGTAAAAACGTCTAAGATGTTCTGCCGTTATGCGATACAATGTCCACCTATTGTGTCACTACAGCGTTGACAAGATCAATAGATTTCTCTTATAAAGTATACGCGTTTCTGAAAGGACTATGATGTACACGCAATGCTCAGGATCTGAACACTGACTGGAAGTTTTGTATTACCCACAATGAAGACATCTCCTGAAGCCAGCAATTAATCTTTGTATTTACAATGAATATTTTCCTTTGGCCCAATAACAAAAAAACCTGCTGAGTATGACTGAGGGAGCTTTGATGAAAACAAATTTGCTCAGTTTTTTAAATTTTATTATGTTCAAAGGGATTCACCTGTCTGGCTGCACCTGAACTGAGCTTCTTATAAAGAGTTCCAACGATTATATCGATCGTCGCCATATCCAATCCAGCCGCCAAGGCGTCTCTGTTTCGGCGTTCTGACGTGGCAAAAATGCAATTTGTAAATAATTAATTTTTGTGCGAACCCTACAACTGACGTCCCGTCGTCTTATCTCGCTTTCTGTCTCCTCAACGGTCGCAACACGGTGAACCGTCGATCTCGAGTGATTAGGTCTATGAGCGCGAAAACATTGGAGAAGAGCTAATCTCCGCTTTCATTTAACAGACGGGATTTTTCTGTTTTAATCGTGATGAGTATACAGTACTCTTCTAGTGCCATGAATAGCGACAACAAATAGCCCGCAAGAATATATTTTTTACGATATCCAACTGTGAAAAAGATAGGCTCCCCGAGTACGTTTCCTATTTGATCCCAAAAGTATATAGCAGAGATGAAGCAAGTCACATAAATAAGAACGGCGAGAACTATGGTGTCGCAATGGGCCACCTGTGTCAGCCCTTAATAATAGCAGTGCTAACACCCATGAAAATGTCCACTATAATGTATTTGCTTACTAATCGTCTTATGTCGATCAACCAAGAGTACCGGTTCGATGTTAAAGGCAGAGAGAGATAGTTTCCTTGTCAATATCTTAAATTATATAGATTATAGGAGATGTCCTAAAAAGGACAGAACAAAGTAAAAACGAAGGAGTGGGTCTTTTTCGTTTAAGTTAAAACCTAAATCTGAGGAAGGAGTACAGTTTTTAAAAAAAAGACGGTGTCTGAAGTAAAACTTAACGATCAGCGTATCGGACATAAAGAAAAACGTTCCTTAAAGAAAAAGAGGTATTTTTCATACCTCCTGAATATAGATTAGTTAAACTGAGCTCTACAGATAAATGTATAAGGAAAGCTGGTGTTGTGGGTAAAAAAAAAAAAACTAAAAAAGGACTACTAAAACTTTTACGATTACTCTTATTGGGGGTCCATATGTGTTTTTCAATTATGCATACAGTGACCAATATTGTTATTCTTATGTATCGTAAACAATGGCTGTTATTGTTACTATTATTGTGCAATGCTTTTGTTTTCAAAATATACGACCTGAATCATGCGGTTACACAATATGTGCTTAATACACTGTCAACGAACAAACAACATTTGTCAAGTTGTTGTTATTATTAAGATTTGGTTCCTTTACCACTGAAAACATTTGATAATCCTTATACAAGATTAACCTTATTTTATTTTGGGTCGTAAATCTCATCACCTGTTACGTTCGTCGATCATCAATCATCTCCGTTGTACTGAGTATGGATTTAATATTGTGTAGCTTGTGTTTCTGTTCCCGTAGGTGGTCCAAGAAGTGGTTCGAGAAGCACAAACACACTTGTGCAACAGTCGTGAGCACTTGCGAGCCCTTGGGGTGTCTCAGTCGCGAGACGGAGATTATGGACCACTGCTGTACATACAACGACTGATGTGCGGCGAAGAGGAACGAGCGAGACATTCGCCAATAGTTGTTTGTGGAGTCGAAGGCAGCGGAAAGAGTACATTACTTGCACAGGTAAACCTCATGTACATGTTGACTGCGTCATTATATGCAACTATGTACTAATATAGAAAGGCTGTAGGTTTAACTTCCGCATTTACGGCAGATGAAAAAATAGCCTACCGATCGACTACGTGCGTAACGTTTCGCACACTTGTATGAGGCGGCCGATCGACCCATCACCACCGCTATGGCAGCTATATTTATAAAAATTGTATTTTTGCTTTAGGCACTCCTGCTATTGCATGGCCCTACAACCTAGAAGTACCTAGTCAGCTTTACGAAAAATTAACTATAACACAGTAACCACTGTACTAAGCAATAGAGCTAACCATAAGCGAACCTCTATCAACAAAGCTATAAAGATTCGCGAAAATTAAAAAATCGACTATTTCCTCCGCGTAGATGCCTGCTTCGATGTGCTATTTGGTACAATTAGGACATTATGCAGTTATTGAACTCTACGATTAATGAGACAGAAGCCAATGAACTTTAGGTAAAATTTACAGAGTACCGTGTGAGCAGAGGAAAAAAAGCTATATTATAGGAGTAGCTGTGTAATTTTGACATGACAGGGTCATACGCGTTCTTTTTGTCTTACGGTAAAAATGGTTGTTTAACGCCGCAATGGTCCACAATCCACTCTGCATAAACAAACACACGGCGACATACTAATAAATGTCGGATTTTCAGACATTATATACATACACAGATAGCAATATAAGCTCATCGAGATATATTCGTCGACTGTAACTTCATTTGCATGACAGATCTTGTTTACGTGTATAAGTTACTGCGAATAATCACTTACTTAGCCGACTTCACTTTTACAGTCCACTTCAGATGGGCTACCTCTATCCAGCAGTTGGGTTGCCAAGCGGTTAGCTAGGCGCAGTCGTTTTAGGCAGCGTGCGCCGTCACATTAACGGCCAGTATATGATAAATGTATGCTCGAGGGCCCTAAGCGGGACAATCTATTTAAGCTGCCCTGAGGAATCAGAGCTAACTCAAATTTCGAATTTTGGCCGAGTACCTAGTTATGTTGAACTATTTTTAACCTGCTCAAAAAATCAAATGAATGGATTATTAATTTTATATTACTATTCTCTACGTACGTGTGCACGTTTGGCAATCTACATGTTGACCACTAAATCCGGCAAATTTGATAATTCTTTAGGAAGTTGCCCAGTAAAGCTTTTACCCTCAGTGATAAACCTTTTATCATAGAATTAAAGTATAATAAACTTTTTCAGAGAATTATACCGAACTCTTTTACTAGGGCTACGGCCGTTCTAAAAGCTTTGAGGCGGTTCCGCTGCTGTTTCTTGCCATAGAATTTGTCGACAAAATTTTTATTTTGTTTTCGCTTAACAAAGCCTGGTAGAGACAATGGGCGGAGTAGAATTTCAATGGCGATATGACCTTTATGCCAAAGCTATTCTTTTCTAGGGGCTAAAAAGAGTGCAAGCGTGGGAACAGTGCAAGGGGTCTTGCCTAGGGCAATTTTCCGCAAGTAGCGTTCCACTGTTATAGAGCCAGCAGGCGGACATAGATTTGGTCTTAATATTCTCGAGTTCGAAACTTTTGCCAAGTAAGTTCTGATATGGTCTCGGCGGTGAGTGTCTGTTATATCGCACCGCACAGTGGCATGGCTACGAAAATGCCATTGTAGTATTATTACGGCGAGTTCAAAAATTTCTATAAAAAGGCGTCGAGAATTTACGGCAAGTTTACAGCAGGATTGCGTTTTGCATGAAACATCGTCGGCATAAAGAAAGGGAGTGTGTTAGATAAGGATAGAGGGAAGGAGACTTTCAGGAAAAATATTTCTACGACTACATTCCTTTCTGTCGTGCTATTCCGCCTTTAGGCGCTCTTGATGATAAATATTTTCCATAATAACATTGCCACAGTCACATCATCATTGTCGTAGGGTAGAATCGCGCTGGCAGAATCGTTGTAGTATGCCTTGTCTGCGCTTCCTCGTCATTTCGAAGTTTAGCTATGCTCCCACTTCAACACGACGCACTACAACTGCGAACAGTCTGTTCACGCTGAAGTACGATAAAAAGACAAGGGAAAAGTTAGCGCAGTGTCTTCATCAATAGCGTTGTAAACCTTATACACTAGTAAGCATAAAACAGTAGCGACATGCACAGTAGCAGCAGATGTAAAAAAAGCGTCGTCATACACGCTACCTTCTGTGAAGTTCTGAAGAGAGATATAAGGAGCACAGCTCCGCTAGGGCTTGTTGCATTGGTTTGATGATCTGGCAATTTTTATATTGCAGTTCACGCGGGCAAAAAGCTTCCGTGAATTATAATTGCTCGGACGTATTCGAGCAGCAAGAGAATCAGTACCGTCAGCTCAACGTACACCAACTTCAGTCAGCGTTCTCTTAATGAGGTACGCACGAAAGTGATCATGCACAAACAAAGAAATAAAAATACACCTCGCGGGATCTCGGCTAGAGAAACAGGACAAAAAACGACGAAAAGTAAAGAGGATCTTGCTGACCCGTGCTATTGCTACTTCTTGCAGCCGATACTGCAATAGACCAGCCGTCCCTTTTTTCCCGAATCAGGTCTATAGTCCTCCCTTTTGTGGCAAGCTCATTCACTTTCTCTAGTTCCGATTTCCTTAACGGAAGGACACGGATACAATAAAAAAAATGTCATATATCAGAGATACATTTCGCTTAATCTCTAGCTCTTCCTAGATAGCCAACTACCGCGTCTTGGATCAGCTCAGAAAATGGCTGGTTGCATTATACACCTTTATCGCTGTGTAGATTTGTAGGGTTCTTGTAAAGCTACTGATTACGTCATAGAGCGACGACATAGTCTGAGCCACAACTCTGAGGGTGGAGCCTTACTTGTTGAACGAATAATGCGATTGAAGATAAGAATCGATGGTTAGATGGTACGTCACGCGAGCAATGTCAACGTGATTGTGCGTCCGTGTTAGGAAGAACTCCAGTATCGACCATAAGGTTTTCGTCAATAACTAGTTTTATGTCTGTCACGGATATTATAGGGCACTTAGCATTGAACAGCAGCGCAACTGACACAATAGAACAACTCTGGTGCCATATCGCCAGTCTTATCAACGTTAAGCGCACCCCTTTTCCAGTTAGTACGGCATGATTTCTCGTTTCGAATATTCGAGCATTTCTAGGGCCGGTCGTCTCACACATTATAGAGCAGCTTTGTCTGGGCTACACATTCAACCAATTATATCTTTATTTCATACATACTGTTATATTAATCTCGACAGAAAACAGGCTGATTAGCCACAATCGAGTACTGCTTTTAATGTTTTATGTACATGTAAATGTTGCTACACGTTGTTAACTTCGTGTGTAGAACTACCTGTTAGGCAATTCTAATACGATTTTCTAAGGCTAACAAAAATGCGAGAGTGTCGCTTTAGCCAACATCGAACACTAAATTGATTTCTACATAAAAAAGGACGGAAAACGGATACTATCTGACTAATCATATACATTAATACCAGTGATAAGATTTAAGAAGGTAAATGCTGTTTGCCTGGTGTTTATACGCATCCCTCGAACACGAAGTTTACATAGACATCGTTGGAGTTCATTTTCACCCACCAGTTCGATACGCTGAATGATAATGACATGAACGAAAAGGACGATCTTCTGTTTGATCGGTACTGGCAATGTAGGCGTTCTTAACTACATTTTATCAAATAAATTCTATTGTCGGCAACCAGTAAGCAAGTGCCGGCGATACATCGCAGCGTTTTAAAATACTTCTAACACATTGCATTTGTCGGAGGTATAACGGCGTCTTACATGTATGTCATAAAGTTCTTGATTCCCGAGCTTTCACTTAATATAGATATGGCATCGTACGAATTTAACATAAACATGATTGGCAGCATTAAGTTACACACAAGAAAAAAACGCTCGCTCGAAATTTTTCTATGGTTACCTACGTAAAACGTCGCCGTGAGAGTTCAGGTGGTCCAGACTCGGGTCAAAATGGCCAGGCGAATTATTGCTTTATTCATCGCCAACTATAGGTGAATGTACAATGTGAATAGAATAAGTTATTATTATTGGTAATACCGCCTAAACACATAGTGACGGGAGTTGTTTACAACTTTTCGCCGACAGCTTCTATGAATTATACGGGGAGCCCATCATAAGCTTTTGGATCATGTACTAGTGACTTCATTCCTATGAGATTTACATTTGAGACTCTGTTTTAGGTACTGACGTATTGTCCAGAATGGCTAGGCAGCGATGTCGTACGGGTAATCCGCTCGGTGGCGAAAAGCCCCTGCTCGTCGTACACGGCCGAATTGCTCCGTAATATGTGCCTGCACATCTCGATGGTGTTCGGATTCGAGATCAGTCCCAAGCATCAGAGTTTTGAGCTCGGCAAGCTTTCCGTCTGGTTTCAGGTAAGTCTTAGTATATCGATTAGTTAACTTCTAACGCTAAACGGATCCAATTCTACGAATGCAATACAAGTTCAATGCGATTTGACATAGAATTATCTAGCTAATACGTACGGTCATCGGCTAATACAACAAGGCCGCATAGAAACTTTACAAATTGTTGAGTTTGGTCGAAAATAACCGCGTACCGGGACTAAATATTCGCGTACGGTCTTTCTGTGTGCCCACGCTTCAGTGATAGCGCATGTGGCGTTATTGTTTATAAACAAATATTTCCAAAGTGCTGTAGGAGGAAATATACTTATTAAGCCTAGTTTTTGGTCCCTCTACTTCTCCGCGATCACTGCTGAAACTCAATTCGGCATGTTCCAGATGTGCTTCCGTATTACTCCCATCACGTCTGGATCCTGGGCCCATATTTGAGGCATCGCCTTGTAGAGTTGTAGAACGTTCGTGATTTCCTCTCCGGCCTTGACGTATATAACGCCACGTGCTTTCGATCGGATACAAATTTTCAGGCCACTGCAGAACCTCAACATCACAGCATCTTAAAAATGCTTCTTCAGCGATGGTGTCGTTATTTACGCTATTGTTAGAAGGCAGATCCTACAAACCCACGTGCAAATATTCAGTTCGAGTACGGAGATGAGTCTAATTTTTCTTGATTGATGAATGAACACATGATAGGATATTATGTGATGAGATGTATATGTCACACATTAAAGGATGGGCCAGTTTGTATTCATCTGCGCTATAAATCAGACTTAATTCATACGAGGGCGTATCCTAATGTGGATTTGCTCTGATATCCTTTCAGGTCGCTTTGAATGTCTTATGCACCTTTCTAAGGTGATACCATTCAACTATACATATGTAAATCTATGAGTTAAAGTGATATCAAGGTTCATTTCAACACCATACTGAATGATGCACGAATTTATGAGTGCACGCACGTTCTTCCTTTATATGCAGAATTAGCTATATAATATCCATTAGGTTGTTCGTTCCTTTATAGACAACAGATACGCTGAACGTTTTTCAGCGGTGTCCTGTCAGCGGCTATCTAAATTGCTGTAGGGCTAGATTCTTGAACAGAAACACTTTGCAGTATGTATGTCTCTATGACACCGCTAGTATGAGACGTTTAGCAACCAATCCTTCGCCCTAACTGTGTCCTTGTGTTACGGGCCGACTGTGTAAGTGGAACTTTCCTTTAGCAGTTCGGAAGAGCACACTGTTAGCTGCTTTTGAAGCTAAAGGCTTCAAGGCGTTGGGGTCTTTCCGTATCGCTGTCGTCTTACGTCGTCTGTTGCATTTGTTTTTTTCTCTTTGCATTCACTGGTATATTCTGTTTGTCTGTATGTGCGTCTATATTGGTCTTCACTGCATAGGACCTTTTGAAACAAGTCGAAACTACCACAAACGATCTCGTCATTATTCTGGATGATCTTGACGAGCTCAAGTGTCCCCCGTCGTCGCAAGGCTCGCTGCTGGGCTGGCTGCCGTGGACCCTACCGCTCAATGTGCACATCATCGTCTCGGTATCGTCGGCCTCATCGTCTATCATGAGCCTTCTAAAATCGCGTATCTCCTCATCTGATTCCTACGTACACATACCTGGTTAGTACAAGTAGAACAACTGCAAATTATATATTGTCAAAGTTGGTATGCGTTAGTAAAATCTGCCATTTTTTTTATATACAAATGATTTGGATTGTTTAAACATTGTAGTTTTGGAGAATATATATATATGTTTGACGTTTTATCTGCGCATAGATTTTTTAATGACTATGTATGATAAAATAACAGCTAGAAAAGCAGCTATATAACAATGACAAAAAGGTGAACTTTTTTCACGAGACTTTACTAGATGATCATTGGAACAGCAGTGATACCCAAATGAGATATTTTGAAAGGCTTAGCTAGACAGAATACTAAATAGAATAATAGCGGTTTTCGTTAGAAAGTAAAGAGCAAATATGACGCCGGTCAATAATCTGCCACTGTTTAACCGCGCTATTATTCGTACTCAGGTAGTGTACACATTTAGGGATGAATGCTTATTTAAGTTTCGATATAATGTATCAACCAGATAGGAAACTGGTATATCTTTCACGCCAACTTTACTACTGCTCCAAGCCTTAACTATATATCTCAATGGCCTTTACGCTTTATATATTTTCCTTAAGACTACAGAAAAAAAAAAAAAAACTAGATTTATCGAATGAAGAGATGAATGAAAATCCACTGCCTACGACTAACAACAAATGTCGCAGTCCTGCTGGGCACTGGGCAATTCAAAATGTCAGTGGAGACTGTAGACAACCGCAAAACTCGAATTTTCGCAATTAAAGCTCTGCTTATTTTGAACTACATTGACACCTCCGCGAATTTCTAGTAGGAGCTCTGTGTTTTATATAAAAGAAATTGCTATCTAACGCGTCTTGCAGATGACCCCGTTACCGACCCGAAACGGCTCTCTATCGCAAAGACTGCCATCAGTTGAGCTCTCAAGAGAGAAAGATATTATAGATTAGCTTCGAACGATATATATATATAGATAACCATATCAATTAGTAGCATACAGCCATCGGGCTATATAACTTGCAGTCGAATGCAAAGAAGCTACAGCCACCTCCACTTCAGCTCAGACGGTTAGAGAGGCTCATAAGAGACAATTAGAAAAGAGCTTGTTTCCGTTACAAGTTTCGTTGACAAGGTAAGTAACTTGATATGGCGGTAGAAACAACTGGCTAAGCGCCTCAATGATTGAGAACAGGGAGATTGTTTCGTTCATTGACTATATGCATCAGATTAATCGGGTTGGCGGTGATCAATGTACTAATTATACAATGAAACGAAAACAGTATTTAGATGCGATCAGAACGATCCATGGAAATCAGTTTAGTGTTCGCTCTCAAGCGATTAGCCGTACGCAACAGCTGTCTGGCAGACGTTCGCGCGGTCAGTAATGCAACTTACTCAGTCTCGCTTTTTGTCTGCTTGACTTCTCCGCCTACTCCTGGCGCCATTCTCTCTATGGTTCGCGCGTAGGGTGAAAATCCTTTGGCTTCCTTGCGTGTCGTAAAGCTATTTCGAATTCCGGACGGATGCCGAGCTGGCTCAAAGCTATTTCCTTCGACACACCCGCACGTCTTACAAGTATATCTTCTTAAGTCCTTCCAAATCCCTCCATGAGGTTTTCTCTAAGGACACACTACATAAAGGACAAACCAGTGTATAGAGTATTGAATTCGACGCTAACCAACAGGCCAACATTCCTGGAAAGTTCATTTCGAGAGAGGTAGATCGGAGACCACCTTGCTCTTCGCCTTCATTCGGAGGAACCTTTAAATGACTGTTACCGCGACAACCTTTGTGACTTCTGGTTTAAGAACAGATTATCACAGTACCGACAAACAGAAGGGTCGTTGAACGAACTTTACGTATGTGTTTTTATTTTGGAAGTTAATCGCTCTTTTCCAGTTACCAGCCGCTGATAAACTGAAAGCCAACCGGCTCTTGTAGTGTCGTCTGGCAGAACTTATATACAATCAATTGCATAATATTGCATTTATTAAGCAATCGACTAGGTTAATTTTATCATTAGAATTGAATGATTTGTTTTTCTTTGCTAACCTTACTATCCGTTGTAATAACATATTGGTTTATCGTTGCCGTTGCTTGCGCACCACCTCTACACTGCTTATGGTTGTACCCTTTGCACGTTCAGTGCTAACGGGTCCTGCGACGATGGCGATGCTACAGAGTTGTCTGAAGGACAGCGCTCGGTCGCTGACGCCGGAGCAGCAACATGCCGTTGCGACAGCCTTGGAGGCAGCGAACAACAGTTCGGCAACCGGCGTTGGAGGACCACTTTTTGTTCGACTTCTTTGCGAACGAAGCCGCCGTTGGCGTTCGTCCGATAGCGCGGCCGGTCTACGCGTACCTGCAAACAACGAAGCGCTCGTTTTCGAGTGCCTGGACAATCTTGAACAAAGGTACGTTGTTTTGAGTAAAGTACAGATGAAAAATTCCGAGTGTGGAATAAACCAACTAGAAAAGATCGCAAATTAGAAATACAGGGTACCATATTGAGTGCAAAGAGGACAGTGGCGCACATGCAGCTTCATAAACTCTCAGTTAACGTAGTGTAAATCAAATGGCCAACTGATACGCGATGTAGACTTTCATTAGGATCGATAACTAAGACGATGTTTCTGTTGTTTTTTTGTTGAAGACACTGAATTTGTAGGAGGCAACAAGGGAATATATGTGCTGTTGTGTATATATATATATATATATATATATACACATGCTTTCATAAAGCAAACTAGAAACACTAGACTTGATCGGATTTTAAATTTAAAAACTGTAGGATTTACCAGAAGAGCTGAATAAACCATTTTCGATATACCACAATTTTTGCTAAATAAAATAAAAGGGAAAAACATCAGTTGTCAACTGTAGTCCACATAAGCTCATGTTTGCTTCTGAGCCCTTGCACTCTACCGACCAGCTATCAGCTTAAAATTTACTTTCGTTGTATGTAGCATATTTCATCAAGATCATCTGACCCAAAAGTAGCCTGCTGATAGAATAAAGGAACACTTCCCATTGAAGTTATTACCAAGGCGGACAGTGTTTATGTCAGATGAGGGTCACACATGTAGCATATGCAAAAAAAAGATGTCTGTGACTGTTTAGATACAGTTTAGATTGAAATGCTTCACTTTGAACATATATATATATACGAATAGTTTGAAGAATCCAGCCTCAGTATAAGAACGGCATTGCTCGTCAAAATCCCCACTCATATCAAACGCTTTTTTTTTTTGCCTTCATATCATAGGCAGTCTGTGTCAGTCGATGGCAGTATTTTGATGAAAACGAACAGAAATTGAACCTAGAGCTGTCAAATGTTTACGTTTGAAAAGTAATACTTCTATGCAGATTCAGCTCAAGACTGTTTACCTACCGAGTATGCAATATAATTTGCCACCATGAAGTTTTGGGCAGGGCAATATAAATATGGCTGTTCTAGCTTGCTTGGCGATACGTTTGTGGATTGGCCTAAACTTGCAATGATTACCGATAACATCAGAAAATGTCCCCAAATAGTGTTAGACGATGGTCGAATCAAAAGCTGGAAAAATAGCAGAGGCTCGAACCACATTGCAAGAACGCGGGCACAAAGTAGCTGACCGCTCATTTAAAACCAAAGAAACAGTCAAATAAATGTTCAAGGGCCGTCCGAAGCAGTCTAGGTAGATAGATTGAAGTTTTGGCAGCAGCCTACGAATAGAGTCGGCTCTGTACGGCGTGAAGCCTCTTCCATCGACCATGTAAATGGTGGCGACCGTTTCGAAGACAGTCCGAGGTTATGTTAAGCGTCTATCTTGAAAACGGGGTCTGCTTGACAAAGTTTTGCAAAAATTGCAAAAAAATTACCGTACTTTTAGGTGTTGTTTCACCATAACAACGTACCGTCTAATGCGTTACTAGTCCTCAGGACAAAAATTTACCGGAGTTCAAGCTTATTAACTACCTACCATACTCACCAGGTCTGGCCCTTAGTCGCTTCTTGCTGCTTCGAAGATTCGCTGGGAAACGTGTATAGATTCACAAAGAGACTACGCTATAAACTAAACACTGCATTGGACGTAAAAAGGATTTGTTTCTATGCTAGGCTCGAAACACTTCAATTTGCCCACGTATATATATATATATATGTAGGCAAGCTGAGTTCAAAAGAAATGTATATACGTCTACGTATTATAGTGACAACGTACTAATACGGGTACAAATGCTCGTTTCGATATAATTGTAGCGACAGAAATGCCCAAAGCCCAAGAAATACGTACATATTGCACTGCTTCATTTGTTATGATTACAGGCTCAAGCTTATGATGACGAATCGAATTTAATATCCGTGGTCCAAATGAGATGCCGTATCATGAATATAGAGAGATATCGATAGAATATCGGCTACCCCCAAACGTCGCCGCACTATAGGAAAATTCTTACGTCTTACCTTAGCGTTGAACTGCACAACTTTTCGTGTTTACCGAGACTATAGCCAAGCTGGGAAACTCACAGGCAGGGATCGTATAGATTAAACAAACGTTTCTGAGGTGTCCTTTCACCAGCCGTCTATAAAATTTAGCAAAATATGCTAGAGAGACAGAGAGAACAGAGTAAGAGGTACACAGATTTGATGTATTTACACCACATGATATAGTCGCTAGGTTTTGTACGATTAGTACATGATTTTTGTGATTAGACTCTCGCCAAAGGTTTTCTATTTAATAATGTATCGCACATAGCAATACAAAAAGTCAATCTTTCGTAAAGTCAGAAGAAAATGCGTTAGTTGATAAAATACGTAATGCGGCTATTATTGAAGCTGCCTAACAACACCGCTTGGCCTACAGCCATTTTCATGATAAGCTCCATTTACAATGGGGCTTGTTGTCCAGGAAAGAAAATTGAAGAAAGGGAGTTTCATAGCGCAGATATAAGCTTCAGTGCAGCCCATTGCATTGTCTATCAAGATCGCTAAAATAGCATTATCTTTCCCGGGTATATGCGATAGCTAAGTTCACAGTAATTTCCGTCCTGAGATAATGGAAGCAGGGCTATCTCAAAGCAATTCGGTCGATCCCGGCAACCGTTCTGAGTTCAGTACTGACATCAGATTTGATTTAAATTATGTAGACGTCACCGTCAATCTCACTTTAAGTCTAGCCTTTCGTGTCCAGCACGTCTATCGCGTGTGTCGCTGACTCGAAACTTATTTTAGCTGTTTGTAGCCATTGTGAAAGGACCTATTCCTACTACTCGTGCTTTTGTCCTACCTTGTACGGCCTATGAAAAATTCGGTAGCTGATAGCAAGCAGTTAGCCAGCAGTATCCGAGCTCTAAAGAAGGTAGGTGATTCCTAGTAGGCGTCTCATTCGTGCGTCGAATGGGCGCAGTGCCGCTGGGTGAAATACTTCCCTGCGGTGGAACTTTCAGTTGACACGAAAAATAGTATTAGCAGCCGGGAGAGACGACAAAATAAGGAACGAAGGAAAAAAACACGCCTGACTGGCTTAAGTCCAAGGAGCTTCTCATATGCCGGATAGAAGGGCGACAAGATATCGTCCGGTCGAGCGGCGGCGGCTGCTGCCAACATGAGCTGGCAGCAGCAACGGTAGACCGAAAACACTAGACAGAACCGTCTGCTTAATTCGACTCGTATTTTCTTACGCCTTGCATTCTGTTTGGCGCAGTGGTACACGTTTTTTTTTGGGTCGCCATAATTTCAATGACCAGTCTAGTGTCCGCTTAAATAGGCATTTGCATATCAATCAATGAGATAGCTTAATGATAATCTAGTCAGACCGTTATATCCTATTTCGTTTCCCTGTTGTTTAGTAGGAAAGGTCGGGCCAAATTTACGGTCGGTGAACAGAGCTCGTCTATCTCAATGGGGTGTCACCAAACAATTTCTTATGAAGCGTCTTGCTTCACGTGCAGCATATGTCTATGTGGGAAGTTTTTACAGATAAGCGGCTCGCGTCCTTAGGTATTGTGCAGATGACCCGAAGTTAGAACGGATTGTCTAATCTATGTTGAGTCAAGTAAATGCTAATATTCTACATGTTGCAAGATAATATTTAACATTATCGAATACATGATTACATTACAGATATGGACTTCAACCAGTGCGGCGAATTTGTTCGTTCCTTGCGTGTACTAGCTACGGTTTCCGCGAACCGGAGCTTATGGAGCTCCTGCAGACCACTGACTGCGAGCCACACCGCCTGCCACTAACCTGGATAGCTATTAAGAAAGAACTCGGTAAATATAATAGATACTTAAAATCCAAATACTATCGATACAGCACACAATGGAACGGTTTCATTTGTAAGTTATAAAGCACGGAAAGGGACACCTATTAGGCTCAGTCACAAGGTTACGTAGCAGGTGCTCACGCCGTTCCAGGCATCATTCACCTGAAGAAAATTATCTTCCAACGCCTACGATATTATTTCATAAAACAACGTTGATATCGTATACGCCGTATTAGCATGCGCACGCATGGTAATAATAATAACGATTATAATATTTGTCGAAAACGGAATTTTATATTCGCTATATTATCTATGTCACCATGTGGCAATTCTGTAGAAACTTAGCCTACATTTGATATGTAGCCGTCCTCAATAGTTGGGTAAAAAATTTCTTTGATATGACCGTTCGAGATACAGGCCTGAGTACCTAAGTAATGATCACTTTCTGAGAAAATCATTTTCATATGAGCTACAACAGCAGCAGCTAATAAGGTAATGTAGGACAAACTTTGAGCTCTTGCACAGAGAGAGTGAACGCTTCTCAGTTTGCCCTGCCTATCGCTTGACCTTTTGCTCAAGCCTTTTTCAGACCAATGATTGGCCCTAACCAAAATTTCCTACACAACAAATATTGCCCATTGACGGACACAAAAATATCTATCTTTTCCGCGGCTTATTTTATCATTTAATCATACAATTTCGCTATTTCCATGGTAAAGTGATACAACAAAATGATGGATGTGCTTTCCAGATTATGATAAGAAAACTAAACATTGCGCAATATATCTATATAACTGAAGTATCCTCATCCTAACTTCAAAAGGTTTTATCTGCAGCTGCCAGCTGAAGTTCGTCAAAGCAGCGTCGAGCGCGACATTAAACGTCAAACTGTTTAGAAAAACTTAGTATTAATATAGCGGCATATTGAAATGTAAAACTTACTCGAACCGCATACCACTCAAGTTGTCCCACGAAGGCAAGAAGTTGCACTTTCCTCAATTTTAGGATGGGTTTAATGAGTGTTTGATAGATATAAAAAAAAAAAAACAAGGCTTCGTCGGATTGTTTACAAACGCGGAATAATGGGCCGTCTTGTGGGTTAACTTTGTTTCCAAGCTAAACACGTACAACAACACACACACGCATCATTTAGCTACATTGCCGTCGACTACTAAGTATTATTTATAGAGTAGAAATAATTAGATGAGCTGCGAGCTTACTCATAAATTTCCCTATATACTTTCCCTAGCATCGATTTTGTTGGCTTGCCTTGATGGGTCTTCATGAGCAGTTACAATTCAAAACATTCTTAATAATTGTGCGTCTGTCATGAATTATGTACGTATGATTCGATTCGGGCCATGCGTTTAAAGTTTTATAGAAATAAAATACCGAAACTATAACACGATTCATATATTGGTATGATGTTTTTTTACATGTGGTTCCAATGGAGTCCAATTTTTGACTCACTCTAATTGATTGAGCCCGAATTTTAACAGCTAAAACAGCTAAATGTCAACGTTTACCGCAAAGCAAGATGTAGCTAACCAAAAAAGTTGACGGATCAAACCCGTCATGTTGTGAGCACGACTGTACACGAAAGCCAAACTCAAAAGCCTTAATTTAATGAGTTACACGCTTATATTTGCTGCTATCTAATTGTTATCGTCACGACGATTATTGTTACTTCGAGTTCAATCTACCGTTGCTACTACTACTGATATTATTGCTAGACAAGAAAAGTACGTCGATTCGTGCACGGCACGCGACGATCGATTGTGTGTGCCGATGTTAGCCGAAGCTAGCAAAGGCCCATGAAATAAACCGAATATTCGATGCCTGGTCCTCTCTGTTTGCATACGCAATCGATCACACATCGTCGAAAACCGCCAAGGATGGCCTAGAGGTTTCATCGTTACGGTGATACTTGAGAACACTCGGAACGTACCCTACCGTGGATCACTGTCCGTCAATGAATTAGCAATGCAGTAGGAGACTAATTTTCAATTGGATGCATTTCTTCGAACACGGATCTCTTTCCTACATGCTTAATTTTTTTTTTTGCCTGTTGATCATATACTGGCGCAATTGTACAAAATGTATTTTTTTCGCAGGAGCGATAGCTGTATTATTCAGTTCGCAAAGTGTATGTCGAAACATTAACGCTTATTGTAAGAGATTACTGGAAAAAGTGGATTAAACATGCTTGTTGTTACAGGCATGTTCAACTGTCTTGGTATCCATGTGCAATGGCCGAGCTGTACCATGCACATGAGCAGATAGAGTTGTCCGGGTACTCAAAGGTAGCAAAATACTAAGCTATTTTGAAGCATCTCTGCCCCAGATAGATTCAACAGATATCCATTACCCGACATCGCCCTCGGTCGCACGCTGAATGGCATGCGACTCTTCTATTATTTATCCAATGCAAGAAAGGATTGGACGTAGCATCTCAACCAGCGGAACACACCAGAGATAAATAGAGTTCAATCTATCTTACCAACGCAGTATATCATGTCGTTTAAAATACACATTAGGCCTTTCTTTACTAAGAGCACCATTATGATACACCGCTTTTATTTTTTAGCCATACATAAGTAACGCCAATCGATAAATTGAGTACGATTAGTTGAACTCAAAGTGCCTGCTGTTGTTTGTTTCCATTGAGTATTACACATACTTTTCATATGGTAATTGCAAACCTGAGTTTTTCTTTCCTAGTTAAAATTATTATTATTCATTTTCTCGGGGGACACGTGTGCACGTTGAGGAGTACAAGCAGAATATCGTTTTAGGTAGGTAGAGTGAAGTAAGACGACACGGTCAATTGTTTATGTGTTCTTAAATTATCGTTTATATTTGAATAAGGTACCAGAAATGATGCAGCTGGAGTACTTCATTTTTTGGCCGCCTCCCTGGGAAGCCGGTAGTCTTTTAATGGTCACTAGCTCGCTAAACTAGTTCGTGAATCCAAAGAAAGCATTGAGAGTATCAGTTCTCATGAATGAGTTTTTGAGAGTATTGAAAATACTGACCTTGGCCCAACCAATACTGAAGTACGTCAAATGCGCCATAAAGGCGCCGTTAAGTTACGAAGGGTGCATTCTATTTAAAGATATCGATCTCCGTTTTTCAGGCTCACTATTAAAACGATGTTACGTTGACTGTCGATCGTACATCCAGTGGAGTCACCGTTGCATCAGTCAATGTATTAAAAATAGGTACGTGTACCGCGCACTTTTAAATAATAATAATAAGCTTCTACATATATATACGTTGTTTCTTGCGGTTTCCGTGGACGACGCCGGCAGTTACAACATGTTGTTTAGCATCTTACTGATTAGCTCGGGCAGGTGTTATAGAACAAACGATGCAACTGGTGGCGAAACACAACATCGTTGAAGTTTATCAAACATTTAAAGTAACAAAACTTTAGCATTGCCATCACTGTCGCAAAAAAGGCGTCCGAAAGCTAGCTTGTAACTGGATTACAGAAATATACGGGAGAAAGTAGCAGAAAGAACAAAAGACACCAAATCAGTGCTAGAAATAGTTGGAACTTAGAGAACGTGCTAGTGGTTTAAATGGGCATGTATAAGACCTGCTCGTTTCTCATGTCTGATGCAAACAACAGCCAGCTGTTGTCGCTCAGCCAAGCCCAGTCGGTTCGACCCTCGTAAACAACAAGCTGATCGATCCTTGACAGCTCGCTGTGGATCGAGAAGTCTGACAAGGTATAAGGGGCGGGCACCGCCTGATCCCTGTCCAGCGCAGTAGTAGAAGTCGCACTAAGTTAACGGAAAGGATAGGAAAGTAGTTGATGCCAAGGGACTCGACTAGAGAGACTTTCGATGGCGCAAAGAAAGAGTTCGAGGTATCAAATGTCGCATTTGGACCTTCCTCCTTCTTTTCTTTGGAGACGAATTATACGCTTGGATAGACTAACCGGGAACTGTCAAATCTTGCAGGTCATCTACCACTAGGGTGCGTCGAAAGCTTTTTCTACCGCCACGTTTCAAAAACTTTCGCCCAGCTGATTTGCACAGTTTTCTGTAACAACAACAATAACACAAGCAATGAACCGTCGAAGCATGAAGAAATACAAGAACCATTGATTTTATCTCCTGTGTTTAGGACGTCCTGTGAGCCGTTCAGTCTCAATCTCAGAACTCCCGAATTCCCCTTTCTTCTTTCTTCTTCGCTGCTATCACAGTTGCTTGCTACAGAAGTAGACCGGCCGCAATCGAATTGAAAGCCGATGAAAAGCCAAGGAGGAGTAACTAAGCGAACCGGCAATGAACTAACTGCAAAAAGAATTGCTTGTTTTTCGAGAATGGGTATGAAAGAAACTTTAGTTTCTTTTAAACTAAAAACTTTTAAAAACACAACCAGACCACTAAGCAGAAGTGGCTGTCTTTACGAATGCGTGACCCTCAGCAGCCAATTACTATAGTCACAGTGAAGCCAATGACATCTGTGCTCCTATAATCAATACATTCCTTTTCCATACTAATGCCCGTCACTTATCTAATAAAGAGTAAAAATTTCGTAAAAACACTACGAATAAAAGGAAGGTTTAAAAATAAATTTAAGACAATTAAAAATCATATTATGAAATCCTGATTAGTTACACCTAACTTCTGATTTGTTTGCCGGATACAGATTATGTTTAGAGATGGTAAATTTAATAGACTCAAAAAATGTGTACATTACAAGAGAAATAGAATGCAACAAAAACCCTTCCCTTATTCTCACGACGTCAACTGAACACTCAAGTTACGACGCACTATTTATTCTATACTATAGCCATGTGACCGTAAAACCTGATTTATTTGAAAGGAAGCCCATCTAAAAAGGCCAAAAACCTCTATGAACATTAAGTCGGCTGAGATTTGGCAGGCTAATGGTAGGCACCTTGTGGTCTAGGTTCGAAGCAGGGCATAGACATACGGCTCGCTTCGTGCTGGCAGGAGCTAGCGGGCCATGTATCTGTCTTATGGAACGCCTAACGGCGATACCGGTCGTAAAATTCGAAACACAGAGGCCAACGGCGCAGTAAATACGAGAAAAAAAATCTTTTCCACAATATATGAGACGTGTCAAATTTGATGTAAAATGAAAGGATAAAAAGAACGAACAGATGATGAATAAAGGAAACATAATGCAAGCATAATATTGTTAATTATAGATGTTTACCCGTCCGTTCCTTCGTATGCCTATTTAAAGATATCTTTCCGCCGGCACAGACCTGCGCAGCTGTCATGCAGAGCTGGGCGCCGCTTTCCATATGGGGTTTCTGGCGCAAAAGGAGGATAAAGCTGGAGTTCTCGGCAATTTGTATGACGATGTGGGAAAATCGAAACGAAGAGACGACTGGTCCGACATTCTGCGCGAAGTCGATGAAACCTGGATGCATCTTCTGCAGGGTGGTTAGTATAATGTGCTCATAACATTGTATGTTGTATTGAGCTTGTTATATATATATATATATATATATATATATATATATATTCGTAAATAATATTGTGAGGGAAGGGAAGCTTCGTACGGTAAATAAATCATATTGTTAAGCTTGAAAAATTAATCCATTTATCCTTACAGAGTATACTCTCATCATATAGGTAATGTTTTGTTGGCTATCGTAGCGATTTTAGACACATCTATAATTGATGCATTTACCAAATGGTAGATTCGTGCGAAAGACGGATCAATGATATGACCCCCGAAGTGTTTTTCGCAGAAATTGAATATGGTGGTTAGCACATTATTGCTTAACTTAGATGAACTCACGCAGTGATTTGTTTCTCTCTTTATTGTTCTAAATAGTGCAAAAAAATACGTTGAAGTTTTTTGTGTGGAGGCTCAAGCTAATTGCCGTAATACTCACTAAACTCTACAGCCCTAAACCTGATAATGGACTTGAATTTTTCGAGTATTAGAGATACTCGAAAAATTCAAGTCGACTATAGCACTAAATGGAGCATTTATATCTACTTAGGGAATAGTTTCTCATCTTTGTCATTGGAGCTCTGATACACACAGAGGCACGTTTGCAAAGGCAAACGCGTAAACTAATTGTCTATACTACTCGTATAATACTGTAGTGCCGTAATTACGTAAGTGTATCTATGGGTTTTGCCTGAGATTATGCATTCGATCCGAGTGACTCGAGTAAATAACGCTAACATCGGTCGATGAAACGGGACCTCGTTTATGTAAATCTCCCTTTTTGACCTATTCGATCCTAGTTCTTTACTGGTAGTTGATACGAGAAGTACGGTAGGGCCACAATGGTGATCAGGCCTTGCGATATCAAATATGTACATTTCTCATATGGAGGGTATTAAAAGCGAATCAAACAATCCCAACGCTAGATCCTACAATGATTATTTAGTTAGAGCCAAAACGTCATTATGATTTTAGCGAATATATGCGACGCAGGATGTCACAAGCGACAAAAAGTCAAGGGAATAATTTGGCCTAGTTTCACAGACCCGACGTAACCATCACTATTTCGAACAAGTAGCACGGCCTATAGGAATAAACCATATAACATACAAGGCTATCTAAAACATCACGAAATAAATAGTCTCTTGAGAGAAAATAAGGATGCGTTTCAAAACAAACGACATGTATACATGAGTGGCCTCAGACAGGAACTTATGCTCTATAGTTATCCGCTCGCACGATAGAGATTCTCCAGTAACTACATACATTTTGCCGGCTGTTCACTGTGCTTAGTGCGGGGTCAGTCATTTTTACGGGCACATTTTTCTGTGCAAAGAATACTTACAGCATCGAGTCTCGAAGAAACAGGCAGGAGAATATCATCAATATGTTAGATAGTAAGGCTGCACCCAGAGGACAAAAGTAAACTTGAAGTTAAGTTGGGTTCTTGCGCTGCAAACTTGGCAGGTTATAGCCCATTTTTTGCACGTAAGCCACTCCCAATATGTTTTTATCCGAACGGGGCTTCGCTGCTGTGCAGACAGTAGCTTCGCTAGTCATTCGCCAAGCGAAGAAGAAAAGAATCTCTTCCCAGTTATAGATTTACAATAGCTTACCGAATCGAAACAAGTTAGGAAAGCAGCTTCCTCATTTATGTCAGAGTAGAATACGACAAAAAATTTCATGGAAAATATTTCCTTTTCTGTATTACACCACAATTAAAGCACAAATTGAAACAATGAAAAATCATATAGCTGGTAAATACACACACACACACACACAACCACTTGCTGAACAATTTATATAGATAACAAATACCCACGGAAGTTCTATTTAGTGCGCGTCATCGCCAGGGAAAAATGGTAAAATTTCATATAATATATGTGCGGTATATGGGCTTTAGTCTATCGTTTCATATTGTCCATGGTGAAAAACCTTATGCGAGCGCTGAATCTGAGATGTAGGCTTCGTTAGTAGTGCCTAATGATTCATTTATAGTAACAGACACAGGGAGGCGACCTACCTAACTCAATATTCAATAGTCTGATTCGCTGAAAGAGCAATGAGATGGCCGGGGAAAGAAACGACGAGGGCACGTGGCATCTATATGGGGCAGTGTGGAGCATGAAAAGGCTCCAACTGGCTGCGACACCGTGAACACAACAGCCATAGAGCCATAAAACGGCAGTCATAGAGGAATATACTCAGATACACGCCCTGCACTTGATGAACAGGAATATTTAAGTATGGACGATCCGTGGGCAGTTGAACCAACTGAGTAAGCGGGTCAGAGACTCAGGCTCAACGTTGTTATTCGAAAAAGGACCATTGTGCTCAGGCGTATCAAGGTAATTGAAAAAAAATCAGTCGAAGACAACATGCGCGATACCGAGAAGAACCAGTGCCTCAAGGAGAAACAAAATTATCATAAGATGGAAAAACCAATCAATGAAGTACGGATTTGCCATATAGAGCTGTTTTCCACAAATAACGTATTTAGAAAACGAAGAAAGAACGTTTCTTAGGAACTTTGAATGCAAGCATTGAAGCTAAAAACGCAGAACGAGTCGAGGGTAATACCGTAAAGTTTCCAGGCAGTACCGTCCCTAAAATGAATAGTCGCTGTTTTAACCGGATTTTTACACGGCATACAAAATCACAAACAAATAGTAATAACAATCAAATACTATACTCGTCATCCAGAAATAGTGCAACACTTGCCCTATGCGCATCCGACAGATTTGAAAGCACAGTAATCTTCGAAAGGATTATGCGAAAAATCTACTACATTTGAAACTACTACTACAAAGCGCTACCGCAACATATTTTTATATGCTCGTCTCTTCAACGAAGCCACGTTTGCCTGTGCAAAATGGCCGGATTACGTCATGTACCCTGCACCTTAATCTTAGACTTGACGCTCCTTTTCTGTCTCTTTATTTTGTATCTTGTTCATGATGAGCTAGATTGGTTTTCTAGTTGACAAGCATACACATACTTTAGAGGCTGCAATTTGATTTTGTGCCATGTATTGAGCTTTTGTTTCATCCTGACGGCGGCCTTCCAGAGCGCCGACAGTTTCTCGACAGCCGGCTGATTCAGACAGACAAATAGGCACAGTCCCCATTTGAAAGCTAGATTCAGCTTTACAATTGTGTTGGGTTTCGGTGCCAGCGAAGCGTATGCAAGCATATGTTCTTTGAGCTATTGAGGACTAAAAGTGTGGCGTTTCGAAGAAAAACGTATGTAGAACCAGGCGACCGCGTTCTACAGATGAGGGGGTAAACGAGATAAAATTTCTCCGACTACCAATGGTAAGATTTTTAATAAATCAAATGACATTTCCCAAAGATCGTTTGTCAAAAAATGGAACGTCGCTTAAAAAGCTTTTAGCTTATTGTTACGAGAATCCTATAGGCACAAGAGAAAACAGCATTTTCTGTGTTTCTATATGCGCACATCTTTTTCAATATTACTAGAAGCAAATAAAAAGAGCATTCTTTTAATAAATGCATTGTAGTAGTAATAGAGCTGACCTAACGTCTTGGACTGAACTCTGCTTTTCGCGGCCATACCGCATAAGTTGGCACTTAAAGCATTTTACATAAATGTTCAAATCGTCCTCGTACGCGCGTCATTGTGAAACGGACCGGGTAACGTTTCGACATCGTCGAACACGGACAGATGCGGCGCCAAATTTCGAAAGATTCGTTAGCATATGCCGCAAGCAAGCGTGGCAGAACGTCGTTTACAATAGAAAGTAGCTGTAGAGAAGATCGAATCGTATATTTGGCCTCTGCAGGTTATTGTACTTACTGAAAGTTGTCACGTAAGCGTAGGTTTATGTGAAATTGTCCAACTGAGTACCTACCTAGCGATGCTTCCGAAAAGGAAGACAGCTTGAATGATGCATTCGGTCCTTTATCACATACAGTGCTTTCACCTCCAAGGAAATTTTACCCCGTGCTTTTCCCGATTGTTTCCACATATTGCCAAATTGCCCTGACTGTAATTTCGTGTACATATGGTGTTACCATTATGCTGGCAGCTAGCTGTTTCAAGTAACGCCTAACGGCTTGCCCGAACCACGAAACATATAACACTATATATAACATATATAAAGCTCTTACTGATATCATCATGTTTTTCGTGTACCACAGACTTGCCCCCATGTTGAACTGTGCTGCTATTGAAACTAATCGTTTCGACAATATCCAGACATAGGGAATCAGAAGTAACCAGTATGTAGGAATATTCACTTCTTGGTTTAATTAAGTTAGAGCTTAATCTTAGCTTGAGAATGTTTTCGTTTGTCTAAAAGTGACTGCCAGTACATTTTGTTGTGGATGCAAAAGATTACTGTGCGAATGTGTGTGTTAAATTTACGACACAAAGAAGATATTATACTGCGGGTTACATACAGGAAATAACATTTCCTTAGTTCACACAAGGCCTGTACATAATATATCATATTTGACGCAAATCCGATTATGTTGCACATATTAAGAACGTATTTTTACCCGGTCTATATACATATGTCTATTAGTGTTAGCTTTGTACGTACGTCTGAAAATGTATAATCTAGAAAGACGCAATAATATCGAGAACTGTCCTGCCAGCAATGCTGGAACCACATAAAAGGGATTATGACCGCGTGCCGACAGAAAACTACAAATATACTAGGTTATTGTTTCCTCTTTGAAGATCAGTTATTTCAGAATTGCAGTGAATATTATTCATTAAACCTACTCGCTGCTACTGGCAAATTGCTAGAGATACAGAACCGCGTAGAAAAAAATGGGCGCAGCAGTTACTTTGCCCGAACTTTGCCTGAAAGCCACTATATTTTTGAGTAGAGGAAATTTTATGCCATATAACGACCCTAAATGAACGCGAGTCGTGCAACGAACGCTTCTCGGTACTCTGTGCTTATGGAAATACGGACAAATGACTTGCCGCTTAGAAACACGAAAAGCGCATA